TTTCACAACAAACTGGAGTTCTTAAAAAACCACGGGGGAAACATCTTCCCTTGAAAAATTCTGTCCCAAACCGCAACTTTTTCAGCAAAAGCTTTCAGCCAAGAATGAAATTTGGCAAAAAATCCTAAAATCATTTTAAAAAATAATTTATGCCCTCCAAAAGCTATATATAAAACTAAGCAAGCAAAAAGACAAATTCTTTTTTCATAAATAGGACATATTTAAAAAGAATAAGCTGTGCCAAAAACATAACTGGGAAATCTAAATGACATCACTTTACCAGTCCCACCATCTCTCAGTGTAGACAAATAAGGTGACCTAACCACTCCTGCCCCATGTGTGACTGTCATATTTCAATTTCTCAAACAGCTAGCTCTCCACCCACCCTTCCTCCAATGCATAGGATCAGCACCCAGCAAATGGTTACTGAAGGGGAGAGAGAGAGAGAGAGTTATAAAGAGAGAGGGATAGAGATAGTAAAAATATGTATATGAACGATCCTATAAAACTGTAAACACAGTCAGTGTTTGCTGAAGCAAACTCACCCCTGAAGTCCAATGTTCTAAGGATGATTTTCCTAATGCAAACAGGTCACAGTCACTTTTGCCATGGGAAGTGATTCCTATGCCTACCTTTAATATAACACTATCACTGTGCATAGAGTCACTTTCATCTTTGTCCCAGGATATGCAGGTGTTGTTGGCAATGAAAGAGCTGACAAATTAGCCAGCTCTGCTTTAGTTACAGAGGGCCGGCTCATGGGTCATGCTGGCATTGTTAACACCATTAGAGAGGTAGGATGTTTGGAGGATTTTGGGAGCAACACATCCACATCTTTGCTAAGAGTGAAAGAATTGGGAAGGAGAGACACACCGGACACACGAGAAGTCTTGTCAACCAACATATGACTGGGACCATCAACCGCAAGGCACTGATGTATATGTTTAAATGGGAATTTGAGCACCTATAGATGTGTCCGTAGTGCTGTGAGGATAACCCACATCATAACTCACAACTCATAACACTATCATCTGGAAAAAATAGAAGGATGCTAATTATAATGACAGTGAGTTAATACAGAAATGAATCAAACTTACCGATAAAAAGTACTAAAGTCCCCGGCATAATGCAGCCAAACATAGACAGGATGAAAGCCTTTGGGGTGATATGGTCCTTGTTGAAGTTCTGGAACACCGGTACACAAAACCTCTCAAAGATGTAGTAGGTGTAGAACAGGCAGGCCAGAACCTGGCTGAAGTTAGAGACTACATATCTCCAACTGATGGTCTGGGTCCTGTGGGCAGGTAAGGATGCATGCATATTATAATCTCCAGAGAATTTAGGTGTGCGAGGCAATAAGCAGGCTGATAGACCAACTGCTGCTGCTCCTCTGGGCAGTAGGTTACTTTATGATAAAACAGATTTGGTGAAGGCTCTATGGAATCAAATGGACAGATAGAGAGAGAATCCATACACTGAAAACTAATTCAACTGGAGGTGTATTGAGGGTCTGAAAGATATTCAACACTGAGGGGAAAAACAGAGGCAGACTTTTAATCATGTTGCAAATGTATTATTAGCAAGATGTCTTTTCGCTGGCTACTGAAGAAGGGGACGGAGCATGTGTGGGAATGTCCAGAGTGCAGCGATGTCAAGTCTTGATTCACCCATTCATTGAAGAGAATCTCTAATGATATGAAGTGCATTTTATGGGAACCACTGCTGACATGAGCGTAAATTATTATGTTCTTTAGCAATTAAGTCATGTGCACACGATATAATAGGACTTTTATCAACACCAACAATTTCATCAAGTGCAAATTACAGTAACAGGATGTCAAGATAGTTTAAGAAAAAAACAAAAACAATCCCACAGCAGTTACTGCTACCACTGGATTGTGAAAAGTTGAAAGTTCACATCTTTTTCTGGGCTATCATATGGAAGGTGGGGGTCACTAGTCCAATGTCCTGAAACCTTTCCTGACAATTCTGAAAACAGTCTGACAGCCATTTGAAGATCAATAACACCAGACTTTTATTGGCTGGGAAATTCTTCTTATTCTTCTTCTGTGCTCACCCTGAAAAGGACAGTTGGCCTGTTGGGTTATGGTTTACAGCTAAGCTGCGATATCATCTTTCAGCCCAAAACTCGATTTCAGTAAAATCTTAGTCATCTTTTACGACATGGTAGCCATGTTTAAGAGGCACTGATCCCAGATTCACACTGACTCGAGATTAAAAAGTGAGGTTAAGCCAGACCTTTATGTACTAATTACTTTGCCACTGTGGTTCTGAAATAGTATACAGTTAAAACTGCACAAAGATACAAGCAGCAGATTGCACGTTTTATTGCCTGGCATATTGTGATGCATCTTTGTTGGTTATCATTCATACGTTTCAACTTCTACAGAACAACTGACTTGCATTAAATACACAGTCCAGAGAAAGACATTATTCAGTGTGATAACATCACACTTGCCGTGTGGGTTCCAGGGTCCCACTTGGGGGGAAATAAGAAGAGACCTACTACACGACATAAAAGGTGACCAATTATTGGCTTGCTAAAACCTAATGTTTTGGGCTGAAAGGCATAGATATCGCAGCCTAGCTGTAAATCACAAAACAAGCTGTCAATTACCCTTCACATGGTTCGAGCAGCAGAAGAGATTACAGGAGAAGATGGCATCATTTGTCATTGGAAGAGCAGTTTTTTCACCCCTATGCTGTTGTGTATTACAAACACTTCCTGTGAACATTAACTGAGTCTGTTGCTGAAATGCATGTGTATTTTCATGGGAACTCATCTGATATGCAGTGTATTTTAAAGAAATCTCAAGTGACAAGACGGTATACTGTGAAGATCTTTAGAAATTAGGACACGTGCAAATGAGATAACAGGGTTTTTATATACTTCAACAATCATGTCATGTGCAAATTACATTAGCAACCCTAATATGAAGATGCAAAGAAATGAATATTTTCAACTTAAATACAAATTCAAAAGGTTTTCCCATTATCAAATTAAATAATGCGGACACAAACAGTATAATGTACAATTTACAGCCCGTCATGTTTGGCTATACCTCGTCAGGTGCATAACTAGACAATTAGGACTGAAAAAGGATTGAGCAAGCATGGGAATTCCCAATGTGCTGTGATGTTGACTGTGATAATATAAAAGAAAAAAATATGTTACACATTACCTTGGATAATTGTCTCGATAGACCAGAGTTGGACAAAACAAGAAATAAAGATATTTTGAAAAATCTGGAATGGTGTCATCTCCCTCACTATCTGGAAGATAAGAAAACAAAACATACATAGCGAGAAGAAAATCAAATCACTGAATATGATTCCAATTGAAGTAGCTAAATGTTAATGAATGTTCACTAAAACAATATAAATATAAAACATATGTTTGATTCTCTTGAAAAATATTACACTTCTCCCTAAATAAATGCTCCCATAGTTTATCATGATGAGGGTAACATTAAACCTGATTTTCTTTTATAAAGGAAGGTATTTTAGTAGTCATGTTAACAAGAACTTATTTATTGGACATAAAGACACATGCTTCCTTTTTTACACATTCTCTGTTAGTTGTAACCTCCTGTGTTGTTGCTGGCATCTTTTCTGTAATCTCCTGTGTTGTTGCTGGCACCTGTCCGTAATCTCCTGTGTTGTTGTTGGCACCTTTCTGTAATCCCCTGTGTTGTCGTTGGACCTTTCTGTAATCTCCTATGTTGTTGTTTGCACCTTTCTATAACCTCCTGCATTGTTGTTCACACCTTTCCATAATCTCCTATGTTGTTGATAGCACCCTTCAGTAATTTTATGTGTTTTTTTTGGCACCTTTCCGTAATCTCCTGTGTTGTTGTTGGCACCTCACCGTAATCGTCTGTGCTGTTGTTGGCACCTTTGCATAATCTTTTGTGTTTTTCTCACCTTTCCGTAATCTCCTGTGTTGCAGTTGGCACCATTGCATAAACTTTTGTGTGTTGTTGTTGGCACCTTTCTGTTATCCCCTGTGTTGTTGTTGGCACTTTTCCGTAATTTACTGTGCTGTTTTTGGCATTTTTCTACAATCTCTATTTTGTTGTTGGCACTTTTCCATAATATCATATCTTGCTCTTGGCACCTTTCTGTAATATCCTTTGTTATTGTTGGCACCTTTCTGTAATCTCCTTCACTGTTGTTGGCACATTTCCGTAATCCCCTGCATTGTTGTTGGCACCTTTCTGTAATCCCCTACATTGTTGTTGGCACCTTTCTGTAATCTCCTGTGATGATGTTGGCACCTTTCTGTAATCTCCTGCGTTGTTGTTGGCACCTTTCCGTAATCCCCTAGATTGTTGTTGGCACCTTTCTGTAATCTCCTGCAATGATGTTGGCACCTTTCTGTAATCTCCTGCATTGTTGTTGGCACCTTTTGTAATCTCCAGCGTTGTTGTTGGAACCTTTCTGTCTTTCCAGACAAAAGTGTTACACTGTGCTACAGAGAAGCATGGAAATCATAGTTCATGGGGATAGCAAGTGTAACTGGCAAGACCCGCTCACATTAATAAAAGTCTTCCACAATTAGAGCATGGGATTTCGGTCCATAACCTCATTGATGAATATGTTGCTGTATGTGTACCCAATTCCTGTTATTAAATACACATATACTCAGTATTCAGCGTAGAATTTGAGCCTAATAAAAATTGCTGAATCTACACCTACTCAATGCTGAATCTGTATCACTGATTTTTGAAACCACACCTGCTTAATGCTGAATTTGTACCTACTTATTGTTGAAACCATACCAACTCAATGTTGCATCTGTACCCACTAAATGTCAAAACCAAACCTACTCAATGTATTGTAATCCATGCCTATTTAAGGCTGAATTCACACCTTTCCATATTGGAATCTACACTTAATCAATGCTGAATCTGTATCTGTTTTGTTGAATCCCCTAAAGTTATAGCCTTTCACTGAGAACTGAACCCACACTTACTCACCATCATCCTTTTTCCTATACATCACCCTGGCTGTATTCTCTCGGATAAATGCATGTGTTTTCATAATGAGACGAATCTGGCAGTAAGAGACAAGGAATCAGGTGAAAGTTACAAAATTAGTTTATATTAGAAAACATATAGAGACCAATTAAAGATAAACCTATAGCAGATAGAGCCAAAGTGGCACCCAGTAGTAAGCTTCCACCTGTACCAGGCCGGTCTTTCCCATCTGGTAATCTGCCGATCCCTGGTGATCTGCACAACACATTTAAGGGATCTCTGATAGCATTTTCAAAAACACCCTAAGTTTAAAATGGAATCTTTTTTTCTGCGATTCTTAATTTAGAAATTATCATAAATTCTTCAGCAGAATAGGGTTCATGGCAGGTCTTTGAAGCTCAAACGGGGTCCGCAAGTCTTTGCTAACTGGGAACAAGTGTACTAGAATGAGGTGAGGAAACCAGCTCCTTTCTTTCTGCCTTTAATTCCAAGAAAAATATTTAGTGTTCCCATTTAACTAGACCAGGTGGGCACCAGAGCCATCCTTGCCAGATATTACCCTCTTCTTTCATTACTGAGAACATAAGTAAGTGAAGTAAAGATCCCTTTTCACGCCTTTAGACGCAACGGGTATATGGAAAAAGCGCCCATATTTTTTCAGACAATCGGCACTAGGTGGGTAATGTGGTCAGCATTACGCCGGCGGTCTTTACTTCCCCAGGACAGCCATCCTGGCACCCATTTTAGGCTGGGTCGACCCGCGACGCCCAGTACCATGATACAAATCCACGCAGCCTGCAGTGAATTTCGATCGCGGTACGCTGGAATTGAGAAATTGTGGGGGAGTAAGGGGGGGGGGGAGGGGAGGGGGGGTATAGACTGTCTTTTATCAAGCATAGTCTATATATATAAAAAAAAAAAAAAACGAATGAAGGGTTTGCTAAAATCAGATGTGTTGGGCTGAAGGGCACATATATCACAGCCTAGCTGTAAACAACAACACTTAATGCTCTTTCAAAGGTGAACGTAGGAGAAGAAGTCTTAGTAAGTATGATCCCAAACTTCTGTATTACTGTATCTCTCTGAGTCTTACAAGTCGAGAATATTTACAGCAGATGACCGGGGGAGGGGGGGGGGGTGGTGGAACAGCTACTACAAATAATTATGAATGGATTACGTGCTCAGTGAAAGTGGCAACTGGAGGAAACAGATTTATTAAAAATGTTCTGACCAAATGAAAAAACAAATGAGAACATGTTACATGATGATTGGGATTTACAGAAAGAGTAGTTTAGGATTGAAAGAATTAAAGAGAACATAATTGCAAATTAGGCGGAGACAGAAGAGGACAGTAAAATTATATCTGAATTAATTAATAACATTTTATTCCATGATTAGCCATGACTTATAAGTTGTTGATCAACACAGCCTCCAATGTTTCAAAGACATTGGTTATTAACCCTGTCGTCCAAGGAATGCTTAAATAACAAAAGAAATGGGTCATGTCCCCTGTGGAAATTACTCAAAAAAATCCTTTTAAAAAGAAAGAGAACAATTAACTGCACCTTTTGCAAAGATGTCATGGTAGAAAAGTCAGTTAAGTGGCCTTCACAGGGAACTGGTCCTAACTGGAAGGGCTAATTTTGCAGCAGTATTTTTTAAAAGCTATTTGTGATCTCATTAGGCAATTTTACACTCAGCAGTTGACCACTTTTCTGAATGGTTGGCTCGCAATACGACTGTATAAAAACAATGCAAGGCAGTCTGCTGGCAAATCAATCGTCCACAGTTGGGATCCAACCCAGCATCTTGGAATTACGAAGCATGTTTGCAATGCCTAAGCCACAGACGCTGACATTTTGTATATAGTTATGTCCACAAATAGAATAATTAACCTAGGCCAGATTTACTTTTTTCTTTGCCATTTATCCCCCAGTGGAACACAGACCCTCAACCAACTCATGTCAAATTGTTTTATCTTTTGCTATTGCACACAGCTCACCCCTGTCATCCATTTCTTTGTCACTTCACTTCCTAGTACCCTTCTCAATGTGTTTTTTTTGTGTGTGGTCTGCCTTTCTTCCTCTTCCATTGACCCTGTGGGTTCCAATGCAAATAAATTCTAGTTATACTGTTCTTAGATTTTCTAAGCATGTCCAATCCAAAACCAGCATTTTTTTCACCTTTTGATTAATTGGAATTTGTTTAGTTCTGTTCTAAACATGCACATTAGTGACAATTCCCTCTGTTCAAAACAGGCACCTGTTATCAAATGTTTTTGGTTTATTAGTAATTGTTTTTAGATGTTCTTCTTGTTTCAGCTCCACACAGCAGTACTGATTTAACATTAGAATTAAATATGTTAAGTTTGGAACCAGCTTTAATTTCCTTTCAATTGAAAAGATGTGTATATGTTAAACTTAAAAAAAGTGAGATGACAAAAGAAGGAGGAGACACTTGAACAAAACAAAAACCCACAGTAAAATAAGTAAAGGGTCCTCTTCATGACTTACACATATGGGGCACAGTGCCAGAATTATAGTTTTTATATAGACCAATTTGCACTTGATGGCCCCTTTACTTCCCAGGAATTACCTAGTGCCCATCTTAGACTGGTTCAATCAAGGTGCCAAGGTAAAGTTTAGGGAAAAAAATTAATATTTAAGTTTCCTTCTTCTTCTACATGTTCCCTTGCCGTAAACTCCGGCAGAAAGTTCTGGTTGTTTGTCCACTTCTGGAATTATGTCTTGTTTAAAAACTTAGGTTTTGCATGCACATTATTTTACAGATACGGCTTATTTTTAAGAACACAACTGATTCCTTGCCTCCCCGGCAGATGCACTCTGACTTCAAAGGAAAAATCCCTAATATGGTAGACTTTTCTGACATAACTGTTACAAGGGAAGGTGGTCTATTCTCCCCACCCCCAAGTGGGTCCCTGGAACCCAGATGGGGAGATATTAATTTGAACCCATGACATTTGGGCCAACAGAGGTAAACCTAATCACTATACTACCATGTCTCCCAATGCAAAACTTCGCTGTGCCAAAAAATGAAAGTCTGTACCTGCTCCGTGGTGATGATGACAGAAGATGCTGGAGGTAGCTCATGCTCAATAAGGTATATGAGAGGAATGAACAGAAAGGCCAGCTGGTAAATTATCACCAGACATATCCATACAATGTCTAGCAGACCTAGAAAAAAAAAAAGGTGAGGTTAGTAAACAATAAGCAAAGTCCCTGTGTTGGTTCTGAGGCCCCATTTGTGGGGAAAAACAACAGACCCGCCTCAACCCCAACAAGCGTGTTGAAACAGTGGATTAATTAGGGAGCTTTTTCAAAGTCATACTGCATCAGCCTCAGAGACAAGGAACCAATAGTCTGCATACAGATAAGTCAGATCTGTCAAATGGATGTGCATGCAACACTCAGGTTTTGGAACAAGACTAATGTCCAGAGGTGGGCAAACATCCAGAACTTTCCACCAGTGTTCACAGCTGGTAAATGTGAAGATAAAGAAGAAGAAGCAAAGGAGGCTGGATAGCATTACCATACACCCAATAATAAACAAGTTTATGCTGTCATTCTTCTTTTTGCCTTTCATTTCCCAATGGAACGTAGGCCCTTAGTCATTGCAAGCCAAGACTTATGCACTAAATACTAAACAAAATATGATTAATGGAAGGAATGGTAAAAAAGGTATAAATATAAACAGTACTAAAGTACTAAATCTATATTAATAAAAATTTTAATTTTACGGTGATGTAAGCTAAAAACTCGGAAACTACTGAACCGTTTGCTTTCAAATATGCACACAACGTTGCCTTTGACTCCAAGCCTGATTTTTTGTCAGAAAATCGCACAAATCACGAACGACGTAGCTCCAGCAATGGTCAAATCATTATTTGTTTCGTTCCCGGCCAGGATTTGTTTTCATGTGATCGGCCATATTTGACTGCTGAGCTCTTATTGAACTTTGCATTATTATGTAATTTCATTTCCACTATTTGCTTGAGTGTTTGGTAGCGTAGTTAACTATTCTGCCTATCATGCAGGTGACCCGCACTCGATTCCCTGCTAGGTGATATAATTTTTTTTTTAGCCCTTAACTGAGCAGCTGGCAAGTTGTGTTGTGGTTTATGGCTAGGCTGCGATATCTATGCCTTTTTCGGTTTTGGGGTTTACAGCTAGCCTGCGAAAGCGGCGACGTGATGCTCAATGGTCATGTTACGGGTAATCTCCATTCGCCTTCGAGAGGGCCGTTGGCACGTTGTGTTGTGGTTTACAGCTAGGCTGCGATATCTGACCTAAACTCTTCAGTCTCCTGTAGTATAGTTGTTAAGTATTTCATCCTTCATGCGGGTGACCAGTGTTCAATTCCCCGCTGGATGATAATTGTTCTTTTTCCCATAAAAGGGTGGTTGCCACGTTGTGTTGTGGGTTACAGCTAGGCTGCGATATCTGCGCCTTTCATCCAAAGACATCCGATTTTAGTTAAGTCCCAATTAGCCTCCCCGCGACGCTTCTCGATCAAAAACTCCTCTTTTCTACACCGACCTACACAGACTGTAGTTACAGTTTTTGTTGTTGCTATTGTTGTGATGGTGGTGGTGGTAGTGGTTGCAGTAGTACTGATACTGGATGGGTGATGTGGTAGCTGTTAAACTGGCCACATTTACTTCTCAGTACAAGTTATTGCTACCTATTTAAGTCTGGGTGGACAAGGATGCCAAGCTCAATTTAGTTACAATATTTCGTCACATGGTGACTTTCCCATCCTTCGGAGAGGATGATATAATTGGGGAGGGGGGGAGGGGGGGGGGTGGGTTTATGCCAGACAAAAGTTAGCTGAGAGTTTAAAATACTATTTTAAAGTTCTCATTTCTTAACTATTTTTTGAAAAATAATTTTGCCAGGTGATGATTTTTTCAATCCTTCGGAGAGGGAGATATGATTGGTGGAAAGGGGGGGGGGGGGGGAGGTTATGCCAGACACAGTTAGCTGAGAGAGCTTAAAAAAGTATTTTAAAGTTCTCATTACTTAACTATTTTTATTTTAATAATTTCGCCATGGATGATTTTTCAATCCTTCGGAAATATGACCGCGTCGAGGTGAGAGGACATGACAGACACTGTTAGCTGAGAGCTATTTTCTTTCCTCTCCATTTCACCATTCTGGGCCACAGCAACGCGTGGCCGGGTACAGCTAGTACAACATAAACTGTCACTAGTATTCCGTTGATAAATTACATCGAATAAAACGTTTGGCTGCAAATGTACGTGTTGTTTTTCTTTTGTTCTGTTGAGCTTCCTAGCTACAGTTTGTTTGTATTTAGTACTATTTGATATCAGCTTCACTACAGTCACTCTTATTTACATCAGCATATAGGTGCCAGAAGCTGGGGCTCAGGTTGTTTGAGCCCCAGCCCAAAACTGTTTAGGGGAACTCAGCCTAACTCCGTAATTTTGTAAGTGGACTAAGAGACCCTTTTTTACCATGTACATAAATGTTCTTTTAAATTGATTGCTTACCTAACCCTTTATACAATAGTACTTCCTGACAAAATGGATGAACAGTTTTGCAGAATGTTAGGCTTTGAAGTTATTTTTGCTTCCAACAGTGCTTTGCTAATGCAGTTTCAACACAAGGACAGTTGTCTATGGTTTCGCTGCTTGAGCTACTGAGTTTAGTGCTTGGTTGCAGCCCTGTGAGATGTGTTTTTCCTGTGGAATGTCTTTCATTTGTGCAGTTGCAGTGTTGTGGTGTTTAATATGGCCGGTAGCTGGTTTACGTGTGAGATGGTGAAATACCTTTTGTAATAACTATGCGTGGGTTTAAAATTCAAAAACCACAATGTTTAGAAATTGTGAATGCAAACAGTACTGCCACGTACATCTTTCATTAATATACCTGAATTCCCAGGTTTTCTGTATGTGGCGTAGTAGTAGAGCGCTGGATACACTATCAACAGCGTACTCATCTGCATAACCACCCACATGGCCATGACCTTTGGGAATTTCCCAAAAGCCCACTGGATCATCTCAAAGTTTAAGCTAAATCTGAATTTAAAAAACAAAACAAACAAATGTAAAAATCAGTTCACTCACACAGAATAACTAACACAACCAGATAGCTTGGCCCTAAGAAACATAAAGACAAAAAAAAAAAAAAAAAGAATAATTAAACCAAATATTCATCAGTTAAAAAAAAAAAAAAAAACAGACATAATTTTTAGCAGAAACAAAAGATGTTCTCAAACTTCACAAAGCCAAACTAACAAATTCTCTTAGATAACCCAGGCCAAAAATTTGTCTGAAGTTATTCTGACATGTCATTGAACAAGAAATGTAGCTTTATGATTGCTCTGAACTTATCCCTGGAAGCTAATGTAGTGGGCTCCTTGGATTTCCACATGAGATTTACTGCAATGTCTAGCATTCTTACCTGGCGACCTGGTATTAAGGTCTCTACTGTATGGGATTAAGCTGGCCCCGACAGTCATTATCCTCACCTACTTTTCTTATCAAGCCTCATGGGGATGAGTAGTTAGTGGTCTGTCAATCAATAGGTGGCACTGACTATTTTCATTATGCGTGAATGTATATCTTTAATGTGAATATTTATCTTCTTTGGTATTCGCATCAGCTCTTCTTTGATGTATTATTTGTTAGGTTATCTTATGTTATGTCGATTGTCACTTCACTTCAGGGAAGGCACACACAAAAACAAAGATCAGGACCGGCCATTCAAACTCACTCATCTGCCCTAAAGCTCGTGGATGGCATAACACTTCCCATCGCAATGGTAGTACAGACAAGCATAAGAAGCACACCAGATGCAGACAAAGTCTTATCAACCAGCATAGGACACACTATCAATCGCACGATGCTGATGAATATGTTGAAGAGGGAATCTGAGCACCTGAGCGTGTGAAGATAATCCAACTCACAACTGAATGGTAGAACCTGTTGTGGGACCACCTTATACCAATAAGTGATATCATAAACCCATTGTCATCAAGTACTTTGCTCATAAACCCATTGTCATCAAATACTTTGCTAAGTGGCAAGTACTCTACTACAGCATGTATGTTAATGTGCCAAGATCCCTGTGTGGGTTCCAGGGCCCTATTTTAGGAAAAACAGGAACAGACCCACAGCCTACCAAAAAGCACGTAGTAAGAGTCGACTAACTGGGAGCTTCCTTTGAAGTCGGAGTGCATCTGCCTGAAAGGCTAGGAACCAACAGTCTGCATACAAGTTAGTCAGATCTGTCAAAAGGATGCACATGCAACACTCAGGTTCTGGAACAGGACTGCAGTCCAGAAGTGGACGAACAACCAGAACTTTCCACTGGAGTTTACAGCCGGTGAACGGGAAGAAGAAGAAGAAGGTGCCAAGACAAAAAGCTGTCAAGAATCTTCTTGCACCATCATCCTCTATTTCTCTCTTCATAAATTTATCCAGTATAAACTATAGCCACTGTAAACATTTGCAGTAAAACTTTGATTAACCGTCACTCGTTTAACTGTCAGTTTCTGTTATCCTTCATCATCTGTTAAAAAAATAAAAGGTGTGAGTTTCAACAAACAAACAATCTATAACACTGTCCAAAGATTACTTTTACACCCTACTGCACAGAATGGGAAGTGACTGTACTGTATGACAGAAGTGACAAATCGTCAATGGCAGAGGTTGTGAGCTTGATCTGGCGCCACAAGTCCATCACTAACCAGTCACTATTGTGTTAAATACTGGTCTCAGTTGTGACAAAGTAACCTGTGTGTTCGAATTAATGTTTTGGTTATTTTAGTCCCTGATTTTTAATTTACAGCATAAGGTTAGACAGTGAGTGCTACTGTTCTGTATTTTTTTTTAGCTGTGTTTCAATTCAACAGCTTATTTGTAGGCCTGAAATAAAGTAAGGTTTCATCTTTCTTCTTCCTCTTTTGACATCTCACTGATACCAGTTTGTAGCCCAGTGTCATGGTTTTCTGTATCTGTCTTGCGCTTCTCAAGTGGATGGGTGAATGATTTGTTTGTCTTTTTGCAGGTTTCTGCTAGACCATTTATCCATCTCTCTCTTGGTCTTTCTCTCATATACGGTTTGGTCTGGCGCTGCATTATCACTGTAGATCTGTATTAAGAGATTCTGTTATCTGTCTATTCGGTTATCTTTTACAGCTCTGGTCTGGATGGTAATGGTTAATTGAGTTTTACAGAATAAGCAAACAGTAAACTTAAATAAAAAGAAAAAAAAAGAAAACTATAATTAAAAAAACTTTAAAAAAAAAAGACAAACACTTACGTTCCTTTCTCGAGAACATCAAACAGAATTGTGTTCAGGCTAAACACAATCAAGATGGCCACAAAGATGTGGTAGATGGTTTGTATATGGCTAATCTCAAACAACTCTCTGTGAAAGTAAATCACAAATAGTATATACTTGCAACATGTACATTATTGTGATTAACTTTTTTAGTCCCAGGGGGTTTAGCATCAGTGGACCAAGGGGTAGAAAGGAAAGACGTGTAATCGGTCCATCTTGTGTTTATTGGACTTCTAGGTAGGAAAACAAGGCATGGTACCAGGAAGGAAGGGCAGGGGCCAACCAACACGAAGAATAAAAATCAACTTCACGCAGATTTGAACTCTCGACCACTTTGTGTGGTGTAGTTTCTGGGGAAAAACAATAACTGACTCACTACCTCCTCAATCATAAGAATCGACTAACTGGGTATTTTTTTGTTGTTGGAATGCATCTGCCTGAGAGGCAAGGAACCAACAAATAATTCCGATCTGTAAAATGGATGGGCATTCAACACACAGGTTTAGAAATCCAGAGGTGGATGAATAACCAGAACATTCTGCTAGAGTTTACAGCGGGTTAACACAAAGAAGAAGAACAACCCTTGACTTTGGGTAGGTTGGTGTAATCTAGCTACTAAGCTATCACACATTATTGTGACAGTACAGCTAATAGGGGGAGCAGTAGTATTTTGGTGGCTAGAGGGTCTGTCAGTACAATGGATGGCTGCAGGCTGAAAATACCACTGAGGCAGATTGATGTGTGCTATCATTCCAAAGTATACAGAGTATGGTAAACAGTTTTTAATCAGTTAGCCACACAGCTTCCCCAAAATGTACTGACGTTTAAGGGAACAATGAGCAAATTGATGTAAAATACACATTAAAAGGTGGTCAAATTTGTTTTGTTGGCACCTTGTTGGTAGTTTTCTGTCTTTCCAGATGACAGTGTTCTACTGTGCTATGGGGAGTCATGGCAATGACAGCTGATGCCGACGGCGAGGTGACTAGCAAGACCTGTCAGTGTCAAGAAAAGTCTTCCACATTTAGGCATAAACAAGGTAGTCAAACAATGAAAAATCAACCAGCACAGAACTAGTGTCATCAGTCACCACATGCTGAGGGAGACACTGAAGATGGGATCCGAGGGCGTATGGACTTGGACTCATGTGCAAGGAGAATAATCTGCCCATTAACTAAATAACTAATTAGGCATGGGATATCAGAACTGCTGTTGTCACCACATGAACTTAGTGTTCTTATTAAATAAGTGGTATGATTGAATTACCAATTAGGAGCTTTGATAGAGAAGTAAACAAATCTGGTGAATCAAGAGGTGAAGAAAAGATGCTGACAACGGCTAGGACAAAGGATGAGAAAACCTGAGAGCAAAAATAACTAAAATGTCGTTACACTGGAACCAAGAGGTAAAGAAGTAAATCCAGCCCCCCCCCCCCCCCACCCCCAAATGCAGAAGGAAACTAGAGAGTAAATTTTTTTTATAAACTGGGAGAATGAGGGGTATGCTGCATGCAATAGCAAATGATAAAAGGACTAAGCCTGAGTTAGTCGAGGGCCTATGCTCCAATAATCAATTAAAGGTTAAAAGGTTTAAAAGAAGTTTGCATCTTACTTATTTTAAAGAAATCAATTTGTAATTTACTTATTGATCTTCCCCTGTGATTTAGCTTTGTGTGGCTCAGTATTAGAAAACTCATCACACTTTTATTGATTGATCCTCACATAGTAGACATGTCTTATCCTTTGGTGTCCTATTCTTCTGTCACCTTATTTTCTCCCAACTGTTATTTCAACCTCTTTCTGTACACAAACTTCCCAGTGTAGATTCCTGAGCTCTCATTTCAGCGGGAAGAAGAACAGACCCTTTGCCCTTAACAAGCATGTTGCAAAAGGCAACTAACTGATTAGGGACTGGGTGAAATCTGATGTGTTGGGTCGAAAAGTGCAGATAATGCAGACTAGCTCGTCATGTAGCAGAACTTCGCTCTCATCGCGGTCTGCCTGAAAGAAACTTGGTCTTTTGCCAGTTCTCCCCGCCTCGTATACTTTCTTATTCCAGGAGTCACTAATATCCTGTGCCCATCTATGTGCTGGTCAGCCCCTGCCCAGAATAACTAACAATGATTGTTTGAAAGAAACTAATGAAAGTAGATCTCCTTATACAACAAAAGGAAGGAGACAAACACTGTTCTTTGGCCACATAATGTCTCAGAAGAGAGGCATTGGAAAACATCATGACAACTGGAAAGATCAGTGGAAAGAGGGATAGAAGCAGACCAAGAGAGATGATGCTGGATGGGCTGAAATAATAGCATGGAGGGATATCATCAAGAGAGCTGTTCTAGGCAACGAGGGATCATGATCTGTGGAGATGCATGAGCTTTTCTGAATCTGGTTTTTGTTTTCAGATATTAAATTAATCAGCTGCCATAACCACAATAAAGAGTGGATTACCTGCATTCTTTGTCTCCCATATTTAGTGTAACATTCTGCTATTGTGTTTTCATTCAAAATTTGTCTTTAAAAATGTGAAAATCTTGGCTAATTAGAGGGTAATATTTACTTCTGTGTAATTTTTATTCTCTCTCTCTCTTTATCAATGCGTTTGTCCATCCACCCATATCTCTCTATCCATCCATACATCCATCCATCATATCCTATCCATCAATCCATCCATCCATCTACTATCTATCTAATCTATCTACCTACCTATCTACCTATCTCTCTCACACATACACACAAACATGCGTTCATGTGCCCCCTTTCCACAACCACACATATAAATATCAACACACACTAGCACACACAAAAAAAACCCTGTTATTCAGTTCTTAGAAACAAATTAATAAAAAAAATACTCCCCCCCCCTCACCACCCCTTATGAGTGCCTTCAGACAGGGAAGCATATGACCCCTTTTCCACACCCACATGTATGCACACACACATGCATGAACACACACATTCACATTAGAACAAATGTCTCAGAAATCTCATAAAGATTTATATCCAGCCTCCCCCACACACACATACAGACACAAACACATAAACAGGCCACATGCACTCCTTTTCCCAACGTATAAACTTACGTTAGAACAGAGCGCCTTGTCACAAAAACTTTGTCTGGAAGTTCACCTTTCTTTTTCCGCCTGTAGATGAAAAATAAAAGTAATAAGTGAACAGATATTTTGAAACTACACCATAAAAATTCACTACCAAAAACTATGAAAATGAAAGTGTTCAATGCTGTATCACCTAAAAAACCATGAAATTGTTCAATTCTGTATCACCAAAAAACCATGAAAATGAAAGTTCAATGTTGTATCACCAAAAACCATGAACATGAAACTGTTCAATTCTGTATCACCAAAAACCATGAAAATGAAACTGTTCAATGCTGTTATCACCAAAAACCACAAAAATGAAACTGCTCAACGCTGTATCACCAAAAACAATGAAAATAAAACTGTTGAATACTGTATCACCAAAAACCACTGTCAGAGACCAGTTCGGCTATGGGAAACACCACAGATGATAGTGTATCATCACGTTTGTACGAGTTGACCTTCAGTACAACTCAGTATGAGAGCGAACAGCGTGACCACGCAGTGACCTGGGTCCAGTTAACAGGCCGGGTCCAGTTGCTGCGTGTTAAGCCATGAACTCAGGGGGAAATACAAAAGGCTTTGTCCGAGTTGGTTTTGGAGAGTTGTGTGCTGGTAAACAGAGAGACAAGACGGTACAAGTGACTAGGTAAGAATTAGGTTTAGCGACGGTTAGGTGTAATAGGGTATTTATATGTAGTATTCACGATAGGCTGTGTTTCTATTCAATGTTTAGACTAGATAATATAGAGTTAAGGTTCTTTGTGTAGTAGACATTCCATGCAGTATTTGTTTCAGCAGTTAATCCAGGTGACGCGCATTGTAATGGCGATAACACTGCCCAGTCACGCTTAGGCCATACACCTTACGTGTATCGCTGATACCCATTTGGCAATGGGCGGCGGATTGATTGGCACTGAGATACTGCCAGCTAAGAGTCGTGCTCCCTATATCCATGGGAACTGGCCTGGGTTGATTAGTGAGTGTAAAGCTGTCATCGCCAAGGCAGTTTCGGATGGGAACTGCTAAGCCCAGTTGAAGTGTCTTACGTCTAGTTGTTCATTGTACATTAAAGATTATGTTTGTACTCAGCAGGAGTGTTGTCTTAGGTGTGTCTGGGTAGTTAAGTCTGTCAGCTGGCCTACCTAGCGAGCCATATTAATTAAATAGAGTAGATTAGGTCCCTGACAATGAAAATAAAACTGTTCAATGCTGTATCACCAAAAACCACAAAAATGAAACTTTCAGTGCTGTATCACCAAAAACCACGAAAATGAAACTGTTCAATGTCATATCACCAAAAAAAAAAAAAAAAACCCATTAAAATGAAACTGTTCAATGCTGTATCACCATATTTAAAGAGAGCAGACAAGTGATTAAGATGCCTGTATGTCAACAAATGTCAGAAATAACTACAGGATTGATAGATGTGATGGTAGTAGACGGTGATAAAATGGGTCTAAGCTTGAATAATGGAAAGACAGAAGTAATGGTAATAAGGTTGAATAATGGTAAGACAGAAGTAATAGTAATATTAAAGAAAAGAACAGCACCTAGTTATATAATAAAGTCAAAGGCGTTATTTTAGGACAAGTACCGATTTAAGTATCTAGGCACATGGATGTTGGCGTCTGTGGCTTAGACATTGAAAACACGCTTCGTAATGCCGGGTTCGATCCCAGCTACGGACGATTTGTCTTGCGTTGTTTTCGACAGTGGTACTGAGAGCTAACCGTTCAGAAAGCAATGGCAAATTAGTGAACGTAAAATTTGCCTAGAAAAACCACAACTGCAAAGAAAAATGCTGGGGTTGGTTCTGCAACCCCCTGTAAACGATACACAACTAACTTTAGGCATATGGATAACATCCCATGGAAGATGTATCACAGAGATAAAAGAACAGAATAGGACAGGTCAAAACTGCATTTTATAAAATGAAGAACATTCTGTGCAATAAATCCATGTTATATGATATTAAGAAAAGAAGTATTGCATGCTATATACAGCAAGTTTTAAGCTGGCTGTGAATTATGGACTATTAATAAATAAGCCAAACAGTTTTTTTAGGCCTCGATATGTGCACTCAGAGAAAAGGCAAGGCTGACACATAATCAGACTGCTGTCAGCACCACTGGAATTGGAACTCTTTGCCAGCAACTGAAGATGAGGAGGGAGCACTTATAGGGATATCCTGAGTGCTGTGATGTCAATTCTCAGTTCAACACTCAAATTACACTAAGGTTTTAAGTGTTAGCCTTCCAATCTTTAATGTCATAACAATACTGAGGTGGCCAGTGCTTTTGCTCATCATCTTTCCTTCCAAGACCATTCTGATAATTGTTTACATTTTTATGTATGGGTTCATGAAGGCTCACTAGTTGCATTAACTTGTTGCAACATTGACTTGTCACAATATTAACTTTTCGCAACATTAACTTGTCGATTGTGATAATGTGAAGCTGACTGGTTCTACAGGCCATTTCCTCTGATATCTTTTCATGATTGTCTTATGGCCCACTGCTGTGCTTGTGGGTCTAAAATGCTGTCAAGAGGGGCACTGGTGTGTCAGAGGGCCGTTCATACTGTTAACTAGTACTGCTGTTCCTGAAGAGGAAAAAAGAGGGGGGGGGGGGGGGGGAATGCTGTTAAGTAAGCACTTCATTTCACATGCCCCAATAAAAAAGGTTAGGTTTAGCAAAAGTGACTAGGGCTGGGACGGATGGGTCTAAGCGTCTGGCATACACACCAAAACCTCATTAGAAGAATCCTCAAACATAAACCCACTGCTAGTTGAGATAAAACACAGCGTATTATTTTTCTTGCATCACTCTGTGCACAATTCATACAGACAGTTGATGACATGGCCTTCTCAAGAGCTCTCCACTCGACCTCAACAAAAGAAATGAAGTCATAAGGTGATATGTTGTAATTGCGGCCAAAGGCGCCAAGATATAAAAATCACAGGCTGGTGGGGGGTGTATGTATTAAGTATGTCTGAATATGAGTGTGCATGTATGAGAATGTAGGAGTATGTATATATGTGTGTGTGAGTGTGTATGATTGTGTACACATGATGTGTGTATGCATTATTCTAAAATTTATATTTCTTTATTATATATATATATAACATGCATTATTGATAACAGGCATTGGTACTCTGAAAAATAAGTGCTTAGCAGGGCCGAATGTCAGACGAGCCTGAGTGCCCAATTTGTAACCCTTTGAAAATAAAGTTTGTTCGTTCGTTCGTTCTCTCTCTCTCTCTCTCTCTCTCTAGCATCATTGGTTGAGAACCCTTTATGTTCAAAACAACAATGTTTTCCTGATGTGAATTCAAATACAGGCACAAACAATACATTGAAAATTTACTGCAAGGAATATTTCCCTGTATTATTTGTGTGGGTTCCTGGGCCCCACTGTGTGTGAAAAAAAAGGGGGGGGGGGAAGGGGAGAGAACATATCCACTACCCCCCAAAACAAGCAGGTCATTAGAGTGGGCTAATTAGATATGTTTCCTTGGAAGTCCTAGTGCATCTGCCTGAAAGGCTAGAAGCCAACAGTCTGCACACAGATAAGCCAGATCTGTAAAAAAGGAAGTGCAGGCAAAACTCAAATTCTGGAATGGGCCCAAAAGTCCAGAAATGGGCCAACAGTCAGAACTCTCCATCGAAGTTGACAGACGGTGAATGATAAGAAGAAGAAGAATCAGAAGAAACAGAAACACAGTACAGCACAATGGTTTAGGTCAAGAAGGACCAGACCAGGTGAGGACCAGAGAGAACAGGATGGACAAGATCAAGACATTATGGAGTGGTTGAAGGGGACAAGTAAGTAAAGTTCCATTATTTACACGCCAGTGGTGCACTGTGCATATGAGGCTAGACGAGTGTTTCCCAAACTTATTTGACCCACCGCCCCCCTCTTCAGTCAAAAAAATTAAAAATAAAAATTGCCTAGCGCCCCACACCCCTAAAAATATTGTCAGTGTAAGTAAAAAAAAAAAGTAAAGATCCCTTTTCACGCCTTTCGGCGCATCGGGCATATGGGCAGAGCGTCCCATATTTTTACAGACCATCAGCACTCTGTGGGTAATGTGGTCAGCATTACGCCGGCTGTCTTTACTTTGTCAGTGTACTATGTCAAAAATCATAGACGGCCATCATTGGCCATTCTCTGCGTGGTCTTGAGGTATGGAATACGCCTCCAGTGCTGGGGGTCTCGGGTTCAAACACTGGTGAAGGCTGGGATTTTTTTCACGTGGACTATTAGTAATTTTTTCCTGGTCTCTGGGTAGTGAGACCGGATGCCTGTGTGTATTGTACGTAAAAAAATACCTTGGCAGTAGGAAAGCGTAAAGAGTAGCCTAAAGGCACTGCCAGGGCAACCTTTTTAGTAAAAAAATCTACTCAAAGTATTTCAGGATCCTCGCCGGTGTAACGAAGTTCTCACTGTGCTGAGATTCTTCAGACTCAGGCTTGAGTTAGAAGTAGAATAGAGCACTTATGGGTTTACACCTGTGTGCCATGATGTTGGACTAAACTCAAACTATTTGCCATTCTATAGGATCATCAGAATCTTGGAGCGGATGATGTTCACTGACCAGTAGAGCCCACTTTGGGAACTACTGGGGTAGACCAACAGCTGATGTGATGGGTGCTGTGGGTCGACATCACACTGACCATCTTTACTTCCCAGGACTTTACCTCGTACCCAGGTCGGGTCGACCTGGGAGCCAAGGTCATGTAGGCTGAAGGTAGAGAGACCTGATTAACCTAACAGCTTAATCTGTAAACAGCATGTGTAAATGCTAACAACCAGCCAAGACGTCAATGAAACTGATAAAGATAAAGTTAACCGCCACAACTCCACAAGCGTCGGGTTACAGGTTATCGGCGGGTATGTGAACAGATGTGCCCTTCTGTGTCATTTCTTTCAAATACAGAAGACCCTGCAATATTTAGCTTAATGTGGCGGAAGGGTGGATAACAAAATGCAGATTTTCTTTATTCTATAAATACTCAGCTTCTACCCCACCCAAATCATTA